ATTAAGCTAGCTTTTGGGGCGATTTCTACACATATATCTTTGGAAATACCAATTAATTGAACTCATCTGTAATGGGCCCAATTAAATCCTAAACCCATGGATGGAATTCATCCCAAAAGTTAACTTGTTGGGGGAAGGTGCCCATAATCTTCTAAAGACTTAATTTTCTCCACATATGGTTGATGTGTGACTCTAACGGGTTATTCTTACAGTTCAATACTATGTTTCCTGTCCGACATTAAGCATTGTGATAAGTCGCTACTGGTATCACATACCGATGCATAATTATAAATCTTATTCGTTCTTTTTTTTTCACATTGTATAGAATATCCTTTCTGACCCTTCTCAATTCTTTGGTCCTCTACAAGAGGTATGAGATACCGAAGCATAAATTCAAATGATATTGCTCATCCATCAGCGTCAATCAAATTGCAGTTCATAGGGGCTACAATGGGTGCGTCGGGCTGTCAGCTACAAACAGAGGATGGTCCAATAGCGATGCCAAACAATATTTGCTGCGTTGTTGTGGAATATCTTCCGGGTGGTGCATTAAAATCATATCTCATAAAGAACCGTAGAAGAAAATTAGCATTTAAAGTGGTCGTTCAGCTCGCTCTTGATCTTGCTAGAGGGTACTTTTATTTTCTTTTCTCTCAATAAGCACTACACATTTTATGTAATAAATAGTTCTTGTGACTTCAAAAGAAGCAAAAAGTACTGCTTAAAGCGGCTTTGTCACATGTTGCAGGTTGAGTTACCTTCATTCAAAGAAGATCGTTCACCGAGATGTAAAGACCGAGAACATGCTTTTAGACAAGACACGTACCGTAAAAATAGCCGATTTTGGTGTCGCAAGAGTTGAAGCATCTAATCCCAATGACATGACAGGAGAAACTGGGACACTTGGCTACATGGCTCCCGAGGTACGGATTTCGTTTCTTTTCATCACATTCACATATGATTTGATATGTCTTTATAGATTTGTTAATGTTTACCTGACGTCAAGTAGCTACCTTGTTAGCTCATCCATAGATTCTACACCCGTCCGCCTCTTTTCCCGCCTCATGTTTTGGATCCCTAGAAAGCCTGTGGTAGATCTCCGTTGGTGTAAGGGAATTAGAACTGGTTTGGTCGGTTTAAGTTGTTAAGGGTAATTTAGGAATTTTTAATGTCTTGTAGAGGAATCTCCTTCATTTAGGAATGCATCACACAAGTTTGATCAAAATTTGGGGAGAAAAGGGCAGTATCGGAACCTTTGGAAAGCAGCCATCAGAAGGGCTATGAACAGTTTTAGAAAGTGCTTATGGGTCTTCTCCTGAGACTCTTGGATACAAACAAGCGGATCCTGGAAGCTGCTCTAGCAACTCTTGAAGATGAGGCTGCCGTGGAGTTAGTGCCATACCCAGGAGTAATATTGCAGCGCCTAATGCGTGCATTGGGGAAGCTTCGGAGGCAGAGCTTAAGAACAAATTATGCTAGGGTTCAATGTGGCAAAGAATTCATTGTTTGTTCTCTTGACAGTGGAATGGATTATTTGGTGTCACCAAGTGATCGGAAGGATATGCTTCTCAAGTGTTGTGTGGAGGAATCTACTGGTGCGAGTCAAAGTGCTTCTGCTCTTGTTGGTGACCCACATCCTCGCTTGACTGAGCTCCTTGATATTACAAGCAAACAACTGAATGTAAACCTCCCTAGTGTCACTGCCTTTTTCGGGAAGGACGTGAGGCGGACGAGACTTCGGACTTACGGGATTGCGAGAGTCTCAACCAAGCCTTTTGGGATTGGTGTGCCGGGAACGAGAGAGAGAAGTCTGAGAGATAAAGCCTTTTGGGATTGTTGTGCGGGGAACGGGAGAGAAGTTCGAGAGAAACAGGGGGTAGTTCGAGAGGGAATGAAAAGAAAACGCGAGATGGCAGTCTATGAATGACGAAAAAGAGACAACGGGAGCCAACCGTCGATTACAAGGGGTCCGGGAAACTCGACCGGCGACGAAGGAGAGATCAGGAAGGGACGGTGGAGGCTAGGCCGCTAGGGTATTTTCTGAGATGCCAAAAGAAGAAAAGTTCACAAAATTGGGATCCTACAAAATCCTCCGTTTGTCCCTATCTTTCCGTAAACCGAAAAAAGAAACAACAAACTTGCCGTATCCCTAAGGTACATTGAATCTAGACTGAAACAAAAGGGGCCTCAAACCGATAGGCTTGGGCCAAGGCGGGAGGACGTGACAGACAAGCCCAAGATATGCGTCGGGCTTCGTCCGGATCGCCATAGGCCGTCTCGTGTCTGAGACATACAGGGTTTCTCATCCGGGATTCTTCGTCCCTATCCGGTTATGGTTCGTGAGCTGGATCGGGGTTGCAGTCGTGAGCTTGGGTCGTCGGAAAGTTGGGCAAGGCTTTGGTATGTGATTCTCGTCTACTCAGGCAGGGTACAGCTCTCGTCCAATGTCCGTCAGCTAGGGTACATGGCTCGTTTAGTGTCCGTCAGAAGGGCGTCAAGATGGAACTCGGTTTTGGGGACAGCCACTTTTTTCGCGGTTGACCCGAGAACTAGAGTTAGAGAGTGTAGAAGGACTCCACCGTCGAGCTGACAAGCATGGACAAGAAGTACTCATCTGTTCGTTCGAGGAGGATTTAGAAGCCCGTTGAGACCATTGAGAAGCAATTGCTCGACTTCACCTTGAGGATGAGGCGAAGCTGATGCCCATTGGTTTAGGGGAATCAGACTTCGGTTTGGTCGGTTTAAGTTATTTGGAGAAAAGGCAATCTCGAAACCCATTTGCATCATTGTTCTTCTTGTTTTTCTTGGTGGAAATCTTAGCTTTCCATCAGTCCGCTGAATTGAAGAACACCTTACACGAATTTAGGAATACGATTTTCTTTTAATAGGAGCGTAAAACAATCTGCTAACTTATACAAAGCAATCTTGCCACAGGTTCTCAACGGAAACCCATATAACAGAAAATGCGATGTGTACAGCTTCGGAATATGTTTGTGGGAGACATATTGCTGTGACATGCCGTACCCTGACCTAACCTTCTCTGAGGTCACTTCAGCCGTCGTCCGCCAGGTACGTCTTATGCGTAGGCCTTTCAGTTTCTTGTACAAATCCCGCGGTTTCATTTAGACTACTAATATAGAGACTTCTGATGGAGTCTGGTCCTGTGTGCGTTTGATGGTAACAACTTTTCATTCTCGGACTGCAGAACCTCAGACCGGAGATACCAAGATGTTGCCCGAGCTCCCTTGCAGCTGTCATGAAGCGGTGCTGGGACGCGAATCCAGAGAGGAGGCCAGAGATGGACGAGGTTGTCTCGATGCTGGAGAGTATCGACACGTCAAAGGGAGGCGGGATGATCCCTGCTGATCAGCAGCAGAGCTGCTTATGCTTCCGCAGGAAACGCGGTCCATGAACAGAAAAGTCGTCTTACCCGAGAATTATCAAAGTTTTTCCAGTGTCCTCACGAGGAGTAGCAATGGTGGGTTTCAATGTGGGAAGAGGAAAATATGTAAAGCATTGTTTGATTTCATTTGCTTTGTGTGATATTTTACGAAGTAACGTATACATGGTCCCATGTGCGTGTGTATATATATATTACCATTATGTCTAACTTTGCCGATGGACGTTTGTGATGCAGGCCTTCTTAATTTAGGTTCATAGGGTATGAGAGGATGCCTTTCGCCAATCTATGTATAAAAATATAAATCAAGTAATAATATTTTTACACAACAAATACTGTAAATATATGGATCGTGTGTAGTAAATATGTCGAACACATGAACAAATAAACGACAAAATCAAACTCATATCATGAATTCGATCTAGAGAACAATGTGGATATGGATGATGAGAACGAATCAAACCAAATAACAAAATAATCGATAAACTATCAGTGATGAACACTAAAGGTTTAGAGATTGCTTTACAGATAAGGTTATCGGGATTGCTTTACGGACAAAGTCTTCTCTAATGATATAGATTCTGTGATTTCTAAATCTAATTTAAGGAATTCAAGTTTTAAGATAGATTAACTCTTGAGTTTAATCTCACTATACAGATTTTATCCTATTAATCTCTCGATTCAATAGTATAAAATCATGGATGCATTAACCAACACTATCATAATATCTAGGCAAATATCCATCTCTCGACGTGATACATGTTCTATCTATTGAGTTATTTCCATATTATAATCTTATATCTCTGTGCGAATTAAAACTATAAATTCATTTAATCAAATGACCAATAAGATCAAACGAATTAAATTCAACTCAATAAATTGAATCAAATAAATAATATCACATAGTCCGAAAGTGAAAAAAAAATACCCCTACATTGCAATCCTAAATCTAAAGATATGGAACTACTCACTAAACATTGAGATGATATGGTTCATATCAATACAACAAAATATCGTAAAATAGAAAGGTAAAGAAACTCTTAGTCGATTTCTCGACTTCGTGATCTTCGTCTTCTACTTCAATCTCTTACTTCTCGATAATCGACCCCTTTGCTCTCTACTAGGCTTGAAGGTGTGTGTAGAATGAATGATGATTGAATTATGGTGGTCTCAAGTATCTCAAATAGAGTCTTTCTCTTCGGTGTTACTTTATGAGAGAAAATTTGTTTTGAACAGAAATTTGACACGATCTGAATCAGGACTAACTTGGTTCGTGTCAGGGGTAACTTGGTCTATGTCACGATCGTCCATCCTCGATGCACCATTCGTTGTTGTCCGCACTTCTTCTCCATACATATATCAAATATAATAGTCATCCATGAACTCATTCGAAACAAATGTTTACAAACATTTTTTTTAACTGTGAAATTTTAGATTTCATCATTCTTTATATGGATATTGCATCTTTCCACGTTCTTGACATATAGGTTGTATCAAAACAAAATTCACGAATTATTTCAAATTGTTAATGAATTTTTGTATAACTTCTTTTGTTATTGGATCTTCCCTTTAATACATTCATTATTAAATGTTGTATTTATATTCATATAGGAAGACTTCCTACTAATACAAAAAAGAAGACCACAAACTTTACATGGAAAACCACACAATAGAAATCAGAATGCATAACACCCTCTTCTTTTTCAATTTTCCCTTTTCTTTTTGTAATGCCACTTTTCGATTAAATAATGCTACATAACAAAAGATTATAATTCGGAAAACATGTAACCAAGTAACAATACAGTATACCTTTCATTAAATTATAATCATAATAAAATAATCAAAGAGGTTGGTCGTCACGGGTCTATCTGCCACCTAAGCAATATCACAAAATTTAAATTATTGCACATTTGGACAAACAATAATATTGTCTATAAACAAAATATTTATTACGTAACAAAGAAATTGATTATAAGTGTCGGAAATCTGTTTATATGAATCGTCAGATGTTGCAACCTGTCATATTTAATATTTTCGTGCGAATCATAATTCGATTATAATGTTTCCGAAGCCTTCAAGATCACGCACATGCATGGATACGTCGTGACCTGTATTAGCAGCAATTACACCAATTGCCCCGCTTGTGTCTAATTATTTAATTTATTGTTTTTAAAAAATAAACTAAGTTGTGGATCAATTATTTATGATTAGATTTGGATTTACTTTTCAAATATCAAATATATGTCACAAGTTCGTGTACAGATGTGTCCCTCGTCCGTACTTCAACGTAACTCCGGTTCCTTTGGCTTTTTTTAATCAACTTTTTTTATTCTTAAAAATATATCAATTTGTTGCTCAATTATATTTGGTTTGTATTTTTATTAATAAATAATTTTTTGAAAACAAATTTGGTTCTTTTATTTTTTTTTTATTAAATTAGATATCATTCAAATTGATTTAGTTTATCTTAAAAATATTATCCCGTTAACTTTAAAATAATTCGGTTAGATCTAATTAAATATTATCGGATTTTATTAACTTTTATATGGCAAACGCATATCCACCTAACAAATGTTCAATCTGAGCAGGTTTATATCGATGAAAGGATTGATATGTTACTAATAATTGTAAACGAATGAGAGGATGCATGAGTTAACAAAATTACATATTTTTGCAAGCTAAATTTTATAATATTTTGATTTTGGTAATTAACTAAATTCAATGACTAGTAATTTTGACAGATTTTAATATGACGCCATAGGAAATTAAAGGAATTAAGAAAAATACGTAAGAAAGTATTCGTCATGAGGTAAAGATCAACCATAAATTTTCAAATATCAAGAGATACCGTCAATTGCTAAAAGATCATTAGTATATTATAAATTTATTTTTATTCCTAGTTTTTATGTCATATAAAATTATTCATTTTTTGAGGGAATATCATCAAAATCCAAAAACGTTTCCATATATAAATTATGTAAGCAACAAAAAGGATTGGATTTTTTAGGAGATTTAATTAGAGGTTTTTTGTGTGTGTTTTATATAAATTTGTATGGGTTTATACGAAAATTTCAAAGTTGTGTATTTTTATACAAAATCAGAAGTTCATATATTTATTTACAAAATTTTAAAAGTTCATATATTTTTTTTTACTATAGTCCCTTAGGAATATTATCATGAACTCTTTCTTAAAGATAAAATATATGTTAAAAATTATTATTTTTATTATTTTTTAATAATTTTTATAAAAATAATTTTTAGTTTGAAATGTTATATTCAAAGTTATTTAACTAAAAAATAACAGTTAATCGAATATATTTTATGGGATCTTAAATAATTTATTGAAAAGACTTATTTTTTTTCAAGTTAAAACATTTAAAGTAATAACTTTTATAAATATGTTTTAGTTTATTTTCTATCATCTAATTAATTAATATTCATATATTAATACTTTTGTATACATTGATATGTTTTATAGGAATAATCAACACTTACCCACCAATAAAAATGTGAAATTATATAAAAAAAATTATAGTTCATTATAAAAGTAAAACGAAGCTATTGTTAAGAACTATATAATGATATTATTTAGAATTCAAAAGAATAATCCATAAATTAATTTAAATTTGGATAGTTCAACCGGTGAAATGGGGTTGCAAAACATTTGTGTCATCCCTATTTCGAATTTCAGTTTTGGGAATAGAACATATAATTCAAAGTATATGGCTATCTATCGACTCCAAAATTAATCTGGACTTTGACGCAAGATATCCGGTTACAAAAAAAAATCCATAAATTATATACAAACATGACTAAAATATATTGCTGGATTACATTTAATGATTTACCAAATGTGCAAGGCTCAGCGCCAGCCTAGGGTAGGTTCCTCAAGCTGCACAGATTCGAGCTCCCTGGAAATGGCATCACCACAAAATATATAGCTGTATGGTGAACCAAAATAAAATATCAGATTATATATAGTTTATTTTTAAGTCTGTATTTTCTAATTTTATAATAGTTACGTATTTAAATTTTTACATCAAATTAAAATTATTTCCGGAATTTCTATTAAAATATAGATTTACTTAAAAACATTTTTATTTTAATAGTTGCAATTACTGTTATAATTGTTTTAGTTGAAATTTAGTTTATTAATTTTGTTTTAAACAATCATGTAAACTTACATATATACACATTGTTTAATTAGATTAGACCGGAAATATCTACAAATCAACAAAAATTTATACCGTTGACAAGAGGAATTTATTAGTCGAAATTAATGAACAACTGTATAATACTCGAAAAGGGAAAACAATTAAAGGAAAAAAAAAACAGAGGAGAGAGAGAGGTGACCGTATACGGAAGAGGACCGATACGGACATGAGCCGACAAAGCCACGGTACCCATTCTCTGTGGGTCCCATCTTCCAACTCACAGAAATTGCTTGTATCCACAACCCATTTGAAACGTTTCCCAAAAAAAAAAAACAAAGACGTTTTCAACATCACGAGATTCCAAAGAACCGAATGAGAATCTTGGCATGACTTGTTGATAATTTTTTGTGTGGATTTGCGACAAATCCATAGCAATTTACTAAAATTATTTGAATAAAACGGCATCTAAACCTATAATAGAAGAGTAGAATTGTAGGATATTATATGAAACTAACATGTGATAACGAAATCGCAATCGCGATGATTGCGGATGTTTGTCATGTATTTGTTAAAAATATCGAGCGATTGGTATTGACTAGTAAAACAATTGGTATTAATAAGAATTACGAATGATTACGATTCAAAACGACTTCTTGAGAATGATAACAGTAATTATGATTTGATATAAATTACTAAAAAATTATTTTATTGTATACAATATTAATATTTTTTAAAATATTTTTAATTAGATTTTTACTATTATGTGATACCCATTAATTATAAAATTTATAAATAATTAATTATAAAATTTTAAATTATAAATTTTTATCAATTTAGTTTATTTTTAAATAAAAATTATTTATAATATTAAAATATTTTATTAAATATTTATTGGTAAGACCAAATCAAATAATACGAAACAAAACGCAGATTTTTTCCGTCCCACAAATGCGATGGATTAACGACCGTTATACATTTGCGACAGCGCTATACCGACGGAAATAAATCCGTCGCATTCCGTCGCAAATTCTTAATTGCGACGGATTTCTTTTATATTTACGACAGATTTTTCCATCGCTATATAACTTTTTTTGTAGTGAGAGGGAGAGTATTAATTCGTGAAATAATATAAAGAATAACCCAAATTGCATTTTTTTTTACCTTAATTTTCGAAAACTAATATATCAGTTTCGAGATCTCCAAACCTATAGGCCCTATTTGAAGACAATACCACCCGTAGAGCAATAATGTTGACAAATTTGTTGTGATAGATATGTCTTGCATCATATATATATATATATATATATATGTATTAAAGATATATTTTTAGTGCTAATTTGAAGAACCCACCAATCACATGCGGAGAAAGAACAGCGAAGGGACACGAGATCGGATGAAAGCTCTTGGGAGTAGCAGGAGCTTTGTCTTGTGCTGAATCAAGAGGTCAGAATTAAAAGGGTTAGAGTCTTAAGATTTATAAAAAAAAACTTATAGTTTGATTGGGGAACTAATTATGTATTTTTTTAATGCCCAGACATTTGATCTTTGCCTATGTGGATTCAGAACACTAACTAGTGGACTTTGAATCGGATTGTGTAAATCTCATTACATAAATCTATAAATCTAGGTAAAAGAAAATACTATAATATTAAAAAAATATATGCAGATAAAATGGAAGATACTGAAAGTTTTTTTTTCTTTTTCTTTTTATAAAGTTTTACTATATTAAAATAAAAAGATGGCATGAATTTATTTTATGAACTTATTAAATCAAATAAAAAACTGTAAAATAAAAAATAATTAAAAAGATCATAAAAAATTATTTGTATATAAAAACCAGTGAAAAAAAATAAACTTTGCTTCTTAAAAGGGACACAAGATCAAGAGATAATGTGATAAGCTCAAAGTTGATTTTCCGATAGGGATGGATATGGATCAGATATTCAAAATTTTGGAGATATCTGTATTCGTATTCGATCCGTATAAATATTCGATTTTCTTATCCGTATTCGATCCGTAATTTTCGGATATCCACAATTTTGGATATCTGTAAAAATTATACATATTTATGGATGTCCGTATATAACCTAAAGCGTTATAAAAATTTGAGTTAAAATTAAATAACAAATTCAAACCAAATAAAATGTATAATCTACTTAATATAAACGATATTCACAATTTAAATTCATAATTTAAACATTCTAAATCAACTCAATTACAAATACAATCATAATCTATCATATACAAATATATTCAAAATTTAAAATTCAAAATATTAAACATAATAAATCTTAATATTCAAAAGATTAAGCATCTTAAACCTTAATATCTATAAAACATTTATTAAATCTCTATGTAAATATTAAGCATTTTAAAGCTCCATATAAAAATATTTTTATATTTAATAATATTATTACAAAGTACGATTCATATTGAATATATTGGATAATTCGATATTTTGATATATGTATCCGAAAAATATCTCCAAATAAATATTCATATCTGATCTATAAACTTTGGATCCGAATTTTTGATTCGAATACAAATAGAATAATGGATCTGTTCAGTTTTTTCGAATATTTTGTCCTCCCTATTTTCAGATATAAATAAAGAGAAGCTGCATATAATATTTTGTTTGCATCTTAATAAGATAAGATGTTTACTCTCTACTCTCATTTGGAATTTGCAATATAAATACCAATTTGTTTTGCACCTACCATAATATCAAATTAAAACTTTAAATAAATTTGACAAATTTACATGGGGAAATAACTTCTAAAATTCCATAATTCACTATAATTATCTAAGAAAGAAACTTTAAATTGTCATATATATATATATATATTATTTATAAGCTAAGAAATCCACTTTTTCAACACCAAAATATATAGAATTCCATAAATTTTTATTTTTATTTTTTATCCCTGCATAATATCAATACGAGAAAAATCTTTAATGTTGATACTGGTTGATGTTACCAAAATATTATAAAAGATATTAAAAAAAAATTCAACTCGTGTATGTTGATACGGGTCGTTGTTACAACAATATAAGATGAAAACACATATTTTTTTTTTGTACAATTTAAATATATATGTGACTATGTGTGTGTGTGTAAACATGCATATGAATGAGGTATTAATGAGACTTGGGCCACAAAAGAAGTCATGAAAAATAATTAAAAAAAAAGCTGGAAAAAAAAAGAAGAGGCGAAGAAAAGGGAAGAGGGGAATTGTCATTATCAGCATGGGTCCTTGCATGTCTCCTCACGGGCACATCATCCCACGTTGTTTCTTCTTCCCCTGTTCGTTTCAATTCACACCCATTAGTTTTGAGATAATAATAATAATATTATTATTAATATATATATATATATATATATTGATTACTATTAATATATAAATTCATCGTTAAGTACATTTCTCCTAGAAAAAATCACCACAAAGATTTGGTTATTCCATACGCATCATTTTAAAAATTTTGAAAGTATTTCTGGTAGCCATTTTTGTTGTATTAATGTAGTCGTCACAAAATTATTTCACACTATATTAACATAATATATTATTTTACCAAAAAAAAATTAATTTATTATGATTCCCCATTATTATTATTGACGTTAGTTAATAACCAAACCATCAGAAAAACAAGGAATCGTGGCAATAAAAATAATTTGGTTCAGTGTTAGTTCCTCTTCCAAACACTCTCCTCTCTCTAGTTTCACCGCCGCCGCTTCTCCGCCTTCTCGCCGCCGTGACCATCTTCCTTCGCCGTTTCTCTTCTTCTTCTTCTTTGTCTGTCCATCTCTGTGTTTTCTCTCTCCCTAGCCTCTTCCTCTTCGCGTCTCCTTTCTCTTTCTTCCTCTTGCTTGGACGTCATCTCCAATGGCGATTCTTAATCCAGTGAGTTTCACGTTTTTACCAACGACGCATTAGAACAGTCGTCATCCGTTGAGTCCATCGCCGCCGGTACCTAATCCTGAGTCAGCCGGTTCGTCCGCAATTTCTCCGGTACGGTTTCAGTTCTAAACCGGTTCGGGTGAAAATGCCTTGTTTGCTTCCGATTTTGAGAAAATCGAGGATGGTTCCGACCTCTTTCTCAGCTTTATCTTTACATTGATCGATATGGATTTCTGATCTGAGTGTTTTGTAGTTTCCGGTTTAGGTGGAATTGGCTTCTGTTGGATCCGGTTTTTCAAAAACCGAGGATGGTTTTGAACTCTTCTCGGCTTCTTCTTCGCGTTGGTGTATTCGGTTATTTGATCTCTCCGTTTTGAATTTCCGGGGCAGGTGATAATTGACCGGTCCTGACTCTCCTTTGACCGGCATTGACCGAGCTCGAGACTCTTCGTACTCACTGGTAAACCATTTTCACCTTTTTTTCCCGGTTTAAGAGCAATTACTTGCGATTTTTTTTAAAAAAATTACAGAAGAAACATCGATTTAAAACGATTTAGATTTGTGTTAATTTTTCATATTTTGTTACATTTTTTTTTATTTTAATCGAAATCAATCTTATGTCGGCAAGACTTTAATCTTATCATTTCGGTAATTGATGCGTACGTATTTGAGATCTGGGGACTTTATTTGTTCATATTTTCATTTATGGTCACAGAAAAATAATAAAAATGTGAACCTTAGGGTTGCTATATATATATATATATATATATATATATATATATATATGAAACATGAGCTAGTTGGTTGGCTCTCGTGTCATTTCTCGTCCAAGTGTGTCTTTGTTCTTGAACTGTGTATTCTTGGCTTTGATTATTTTATTTTTCGGGTGTGGATTTTTGTTCGAATTTTAAATTATTTTTACAACTATTTTCGGAATTACTTGCCCCTTAATATTTGGTGGGATATATTTTTTTTTTGTTATATATTTTACTCTTTATATGATATAATTATTTAAGATGTGCATTTTAAATGGATTTCATTCCTTCTTGGAACATAAATTTATTGTACAATAATAGGGGTAGTTCACTTCACACAAATTAGTCGTTGTTAGGGAAAATCCCATATAAGTACCCGAACTCGTCGAAATGTGCCAAATAAGTACCCAACTTATAATTCTGTCAAATCAGTACCTCAACTACTATATTGTGACATATTAGTACCCGAACTCGTAAAATTGATGTCAATTCCCAATTTTATACCTAACGAACGTTTATTGTCATGTTTTCCGTTAATTCTGTGCTGAGTTGGACGACACGTTAGTAATCCACGTAAGATTTACAACTTAAACTCAACTTAAACAATACCAACAAAACCGATCGAAAAACTGTTTTATACAGGAAAAATAGGATTACGAATTACTAAAATACCCCTGAGGAAGACGTACATGTTTGGTTAGTATATTTTTTTTCTCCGCTTCATTCCTTCCAAGCTCTGCTGAAGATACTCCTCAATCGATTTCCGGTGAGTCTCTGAAGGGCCTTCTTGGCGCCAGGAACTTCCATCTCTGATAACCTCTGCAAATACCGATCGGCTCCGGCGGCGATAAGCTTCTTCCTTGCCATGTGGCCACCACCGCCGGACAGAGCTGCGGCGGTCACCATCACTGGGAGCTCTTTATCGGCCATGGTCTCGCTCCTCGGATCAAGCATCTGCACCAATCGCATCACGCTTTTCTCGTCCCGAAACAGGTCCTTCCGATTCGATCGGATCGCCAGCAATGACACCGCGGCGGCGGCGGCGTCTTGCAGTCCCGCCGGCTTCGGTGACTCTATCATCCGTATCAACGACCCTGAACAACCGACGATTGCTCGTTTGTTGTCGTCGCTGATTGTCAGATTCGCGAGCAGAGAAGCGAAAATCTGTTGCGAGATTGTGTTTCCATGTTTGATGAACTCCCCCAATTGGATGATGAATCCAGTTGAAGATGATAAAACCCTAGAAACCGAATCCATGATCGATAACTGACTAAGAGCCAACAGAGCTTGCTCGATCGTATCGGAATCCGATGAATCCTGAACCAGATGCATCAAAGTCTGTAATCCCCTCTCCTTGACGATCAAGTCCAGGAAAAACTCACCGGAGGAGGAGAGTATAGCGATGAAGCTCGTCGCCTTTTCCGCGGCGGATGTAGAACCGGAGACTAGGAGGCGGAGGAGTACCGGAACCGCTCCTTCCTCCGCCAGTGTCGTCCTGATGTCCTCAACGGCGGCAACGTTCCGAATTGCTCCGGCGACGTGATCCTGAACCTCCATGGATCTCGATCAGCAAGCTTCGATAAGCATGGAGGCGCCGCCATAAGCCGAGATGGCCCACGCGGTGTCGGGATCGGCAGGTATGGGCTCGATTGCCGCTGCGGCTCTCTCCTTCAATGGCAGAGATCCTGTCTCCAGTATCCTCAACAAAGGACCTAGACCTCCTTCTTCGAACACTATTTTCCTCGACTCGACGCTCGACGAAGTGAGCAATGAGACGGCGACGAGAGCGTGGAACCTGTATATTGTGACCGGTTTTGTTGGTATTGTTTAAGTTGAGTTTAAGTTGTAAATGTTACGTGGATTGCTGACGTGTCGTCCAACTCAACACGGAATTAACGGAAAACATGACAATAAACGTCGTTAGGCATAAAATTGAGAATTGACATCAATTTTACGAGTTCGGGTACTAATATGTCACAATATAGTAGTTGAGGTACTGATTTGACATAATTATAAGTTGGGTTACTTATTTGACACATTTCGACGAGTTCGGGTATTTATATGGGATTTTCCCAAAAGATGATTAAATGACGGTTGGTTATATTATTTTTCAAGACACGAATAAATAGGAAAACCAAATTTAATATTATAAGACTATATATTGACATATTTCTCTTGTTCATCCACTACCATTATGAGAATATGTGATCCATGTCATGTTTCTGTTATTAAAGATTTCATTTTTTCAAGAGTGAGATTTTGAGTTTTTGTTTTCTAAAATTTTGTTTTGCATTTCATTTTTCTCTTTTCTGTGGTTCTGACTGTACAAAATTACCCGAAAATTAGGTATCTCATACCCGACTCACCAATATTCAATTTTAGTACATTCACCTTTCATCTAAGGTAATGAGAAGTGGTTTTGGAGTTTTTAGATTTTAAAAACTAAAAATACTGATAATTAAGGTTTTTAAATTTTGGTTTTTAGAAATTTATTAAATCTATTTTATGAAAAAAATCAATTAAAAATCAAAAATCACGATGTTTTAGATTTATAAACTTATTAAATCTAAACGCCAAAAACTAAAAACCAAAAATCGAAAACTAAAATCAAAAACCCAAAATAAAAATCAATACCATTCAAGACGTAAATATAAATCCGTGTAATGTAATAAATTTTTTTAAAAACGGTTACCTACAAATATGCAACTAGTTTTACTATAAACAATTATATCATATATATTTTATTATTTTACTGTAATTGTTTTGATCAAAGATTTCTCATTTTTCAATATTATTTCAAAAATACTAAATTCATTTTTATTTATCTCTCGTCTACTTTTTTTTATCTCATATTTTGACCGTGATTCATCTCTCTTTTACAATCACGTTTTATTTTTTTTAAAATTTTCAGAATAAATATCGTTATTTTTTTAATTAAATAAACTCGTATCCTATGCATTCGTAATCATCGAACCCAAATGTTAATCTTTTAATGACGTACAAAAGCGGAATACTCCGATTTTCCTTACTCTCCGCTTGTTCCAAATCGTACAACGTCTCCATTGTTGCCGTCCCCAACCGACTCTCTCTCTCTCCCTGCTTCGAATGTTTTAGAATGCCTAAAATCTCGTTATTGTTTCTTCCTCTTCTGTTGTTCATCATGCACTCGACTGGATAGCTGCTTGTTTCTGAGGTTTCATCTCTTCAGAATCTGTCAGTATCATCGCTCGAGGAGTCAAAATTCTATGCCTCTTTCGGTCAGTTCATCGGGAGAATCGGGTTTTCTCTAATGGGTCATCTTCAATCAGGCGAATGAGCGTTTTCTGTTCCTTTCCTCATCTGGGTTTCTTTCAAAACTCGCAGTTAGTCATCCGGGTCTCCTCTCACATCGAGTATTTCCACTTAATTGAGTAAATTCCTGTTCTTTTATGTTCTGGTTAGAACAATTTCCGAGACCTCTAAATGTCCAACTGAAGAGCGAAACCGTATCTTACACTCGCAGGGATTTCGAGCTGAGAAGCTGGAAAATCTGGGTTTTGCTTTATCGAAGTGATCGAAAATTTCTGAGTTTCGGGCTCCGAAATGAAGGATTTCAGGTTGTTCAGACAAATCTCCAACAACGTGAACGAACGGCGACTGTCTCTGGGAGAGTACAAGAGAGCCGCGTCTTGGTCCAAATACTTGGTTTCTTCGGGTGGAGAGATTAAAGGAGAGGCAGAAGAAGAATGGAGTGCGGACATGTCTCAGCTTTTGATTGGTAACAAGTTTGCTACAGGAAGACATAGTAGGATCTACAGAGGGATTTATAAGCAGAGAGATGTAGCCATTAAGCTCGTAAGCCAGCCCGAGGAAAACGAAGAACTGGCTCGTCTGCTCGAACAACAGTTCACTTCCGAGGTTGCCCTGTTGTTCCGCTTAAGCCATCCAAACATCATCACTGTAAGTCTCCTCTTTGTTTATGGTGAAATCATTTTCATTGCACCTGTGAGTTGGATATGTTGTCTGGTCCATTCTCTTTATGTGGTGATAAACTGATCATTGAGTGATTTTCACTAGATTCCCATGATGTAAAAATATGTTTGAGCAGTATTTAGACCTCTTTCGATACCCATAGTTAAATAAAATAAGAGGGTGGCAGCTCCGTTACAATGCTGTAATGAAGCTTCATTCAAGTGTGTTCTTTGGATCAGTTGGTGCTTGAGTTATATCCAAGAATAAGGCTTTCGACTTGAAATTCAGATGATCAATACGTTGAAAAGAAAAAAACGATCACTCCGTGTGCGGAATGTTGCGTTACCCACCTTGAGATTCTTTGATGTATTCAACCAGAGAGAAGAGTATACGATTCCGTCTAGTTTTCGGCTGAAACATGTTTTTCTAGTTCACATTCTCTTTATAGGATACTGCTGATGTGCTGCTTTATTTGCTTCAGTGATCTACTATTTTTCATTTTCCTTGTGCAGTTTGTCGGCGCTTGTAAGAAGCCTCCCGTCTTCTGCATAATCACGGAGTATCTCTCGGGGGGATCTTTAAGAAAGTACCTGCACCAACAGCAGCCGCACTCTGTGCCTCTCGCCCTCGTTCTGAAGCTGGGATTAGACATAGCCCGTGGAATGCAATACCTGCATTCACAAGGTATCCTCCACAGAGACCTAAAATCCGAGAATTTACTCCTCGGCAAAGATATGTGCGTGAAAGTAGCCGACTTTGGGATCTCGTGTCTGGAATCACAGTGTGGGAGTGGCAAGGGTTTCACTGGAACTTACCGGTGGATGGCGCCCGAGATGATCAAAGAGAAGCGCCACACCAAAAAGGTCGATGTCTACAGTTTCGGTATCGTGCTGTGGGAGCTTCTGACTGCTTTGACTCCGTTCGAGAACATGACTCCCGAGCAGGCTGCTTTTGCCGTTTGCCAGAAGGTAAGAATATCTCATCTGAACATTTCAAATCTATTCCCTTCACAAAATTTCTGATCTCAACGGGAAACAGATAAAACATTACCCGCGTACCATGATACTGTTGTCCCTAGGAACATAACGTCCTTGTTCCGACATGCTACAACTAGAAATTGGATCATAACATCGGATCTCTTCGTTTCAGAATGCGAGACCGAGACTGCCATCAACGTGCCCTCCTGCGTTAAGACATCTGATAACTAGATGCTGGTTGAGCAACCCGAAGAAGCGGCCTCACTTCAGCAAGATAGTCGCCGTTCTTGAGAGTCACGCCGAGTCTCTGCGTCGAGACCCCGGGTTCTTTTGCGAATACAATCCCGGAAATTCATCTCCTCCGTCTCTCTTCTGCTTCCCACAGAGGTCAAAACGGCGTTCTTGTTTAGGGTTTTAGACATATTTTTTCACTCAGAAGTTGCTTTGTTTCAACGGTTCTTGGAGTGTTTGCTTTCTTCCGTTTGAGAAAGTGTATATTGGAAGGAAGATTGGTTTGTTCAGTTGAATTGCTGCATAAAGTTCATGTATTTCATTCCAATGTGCACGAGGCATCCTTTCAATTCATAAACTTCTCCATTCTTTTGAAAGTTATAATTTGTTAAAAAGTTTGATGAATTTTCAAATTATGAAAAAAAAAGTGTACGAAGGCAGAGCAAGTGTTGGGCCATTTCTGTAAATTTGAGTTCTTGCAATTCAAAATTCTCCGTCTAATTAAAATAGCCATCAGGATAAATTAACAATAATATAAAATAATCTAATAACAATTTTAAAAAAAATTAAATCTTCATGGAATAACATAGTATAAATTGACCTAAAAAATCATACACTTTTTCATAAATTTCGAGCATAATTACAAATAAAAAATTAGAGATTTTAAAGAGATTTGGAATGAAAAAGAAAATATAGTAAAAATTATATATGTATATGTGTGTATGTATATATATATGTGTGATATATGTATGTATATATATGTGTATATATATAAGTGATTTTTATTTATTTTTTATAAATATTATTATATATTTTTAGATTTTTATTATTTTTTATTAATTAATATTATTAAATATTAAATTGTGGGTGATGTGGCAAATGATTAGGATGATATTATTATCATGTCAACTTTGAATAATCAATTTTTACGCGTAGAATTTTATTTATCAATTTTTTAAAAGTATAAATATTTTATTGTTAGATATAATAAATATAGAATTTAATAGAATAAAAAAATATACGATTAAAATTGTGATGAAGAAAAAGTATAAGATTTTAAATGAAATTATTCCTGAGTTAGTATTTAGCTGATATGCCTTCTCTTTCTCTTTTGGAGCTTTTTTGTATTGGGAAAATTATATGTCACAAGAAGTCTTCTTTTGTACTTTGTAATTTGTATTACTATTATTATTATTGAAGGAAGCTTTGCCACGTGTACGGCTAAGAACCAGAAACAACTTTCCCCATACATAAAACCTGCACAGACGACATAAAGCCAAAAAAAAAAGTAAGCGACTCGTTGGCGTCCAAAAATTCAAAGGAAAAAATGGCGACGAGAGGAGTTGCTGCTGCTGCTGCCTGCATATGGAGACGAGGAAACCCTTCGTTTTCATCGATGTCGCACTATTTCAGTCCCATTTTCAATCGTCCAATCGCCCCTAGAGGTATATGTATAGCATGTTTTGCAATTGCAAGATGAATCTATTCATGTTTTTTTTTTCGATTCGGGAGGTGTTGAGTTAGTTTGGTGTTTAGGTGGTGATGGAATCGTGATCGATGTTGTCGATCATCGATCACCTTCTTTGGATTGTGATTTTGTCTCGTGTTTGTGAGAATTCTTCCTTGTAACATGGTTTTGTCGGTAATCGCTGCTTATTTCATGAAAATGATCTTAAGATTCGAGAATGTTTGATGGATCACGCAGAGTGAGGGTTTGATATAAAGATTATTGTAATTGCAGTTCATGTTGAGATTGGTTCAGCAGAACTGAAAGGGTGAATTCTGTTAACAGTCAACATTGTGCTGATTTTTTACTTCTAGGGTTTGGAATTCCTGTTCGGGTGCTACACGGAGCAAGTGCTGATCCCATTGCACCGTTGAAGAAAGGCAAAGAACCGATCTCTCCGAATTGGAAAATCAAAATGTTATATGATGGAGATTGCCCTCTCTGCATGCGTGAGGTTCTATCTGAGCATACCCGTTGTTCTTGTTTGTGCCGCCATCGAGTTTTGAAACTGAATTCTTGTTTATTGATGCCTTTGTCATTGCAAGGTTAATATGCTCGTGGAGAGGAATAAGCAATACGGAACCATAAAGTTTGTTGATATAAGTTCGGATGATTATTCTCCAGAAGATAACCAGGGGCTAGATTACAAAATAGTAAGTGTTTTAGCAATATATTTCAGATAGTGAAATCTGTTGCAGTTTGTAGCATTGGGGAACCGATATGAAACGTGCAAAATTGTAACTCTTGACGTTAGGCTTATGGATATTGTGCCATGGCTATCTTTCAAGTGTGGTTCAGGAAAACATGCATCAGATGCTTTTGTGTTTTCTATTCCAAGTTGTATGAGAAAACTCATAAATTTGATCAAGTTCCTCATGGAAGCATCACCTCTCTCGTTAGGTAATGGGGCAAATCCATGCGATCCTTGCTGACGGAACAGTGGTCACAGGTGTAGAGGTAGATTTTGCTTTCATTGTTTTAAGCGTTTGCTGCTTTTGGTGAATGTAATAATTCGTTCCATATAACAACATTTATGATGTCTCCAGGCGTTTCGGAGATTATATGAAGAGGTCGACCTCGGATGGGTTTACTCCATCACGAAATACGAACCCGTAAGCCTTCTCTTCCTATGTATTCTTACTTTTCCGTCGACTGTATTCAATATCATAAGATTGTAGCCGGAGAACCTTCGCTCTTACCTGCAGATTGGAAAGATAGCTGATGCAGTGTATGATTTCTGGGCAAAATATCGTCTTCAGTTAACAGGTATACATTTGAGTAAGCTCATGTATTTAATACATGTACATATAATTTTATCTTTGTTAGAGATACTAAATCGGTGACATTCTGCGTTTTAGGGCGACCGCCTTTAGAAGAAGTTCTCGAAGCAAGGAGGAAAAAGGTATGGAGCAAACTCATAAGCAAAACCAAATATGACTTGATTATCCACCATGTCATCCATACAAATCAAAAACCGAAAGGATGGATTCCTTGTTTACAGGTAGAGACTTGCGGTAACAACAACGCCTGCAAGATGTAAGTTCCTCGACATGATCAAACTATTTCCACTTCTTCTCGAGGTCCGATTCTCACGGTAAGAGAATGTTACACTTACGAGTTATGAATATGTAAAACATTGCATCATGGTTTTGGGATAGGATTCACTGTATTTCTTAATGCATAACCCAGGAATCAAATCCAAGTAGATTAATAACTTGTATAGTTTGGTTTTGGTTTTACCGTGTGTTACACTGGAGGAAGATATATGTAAGTGAAACAGTTGGGTCAGGCTAAAATTTTAATAATACTAGGTATATATCCGCGCGATGCGCGAGTTATTTTTTTTATATTTATATTATTTTTATAAAATTTATTGGTATAAATGTTATAAAAAGTGATATGAAAATCAAATTATTGTAAAATCATCATTAGTTATTATATTATTTGTATAAATATGTTAAGAGGCGAAAGATTTTTTTCGATCTCTTAAAAATTAGTTATAATATAATAATAAAAATGACATTATTAAATATTATAAATATGATTTTTTTTATAATGTGTTATGTATTTATGATATGAAACTTTTGTTATTTATTATAGTTGTAGAAAATTTGTAACATTAATGTAGTAAAAACTGATACAGATTATTTGTTTAAATATATAAAAATATAAAATAATACTTAGATGATAAAATTTACAAATTTGATCATCTGTATAACAAAATATATGAATTTTAAAATCTAAATATATCTTATTTATTTTTTTAATTTGATAAATCTAATAGGTATTATTTTTATTTGTCAACGCTAGCAAATTATGATATAAATGTATCTAAAACTTCTTTTTAACTATAGTACAAATGGTGGCATTAATGTTTTCAACAATAGTATTTTCTTAAAATAAATATAAAATTTATTATCCGGTAATTTATATATGTTTCTATTTGACCTACTTTTGAAATAACTTTTAATAAATATATATCGTACATTAATTATTTTTATATTTTTCTATATGGTTCTGAAATAGTTTTTCTTTAACAACATTTTCCTGTAATATTGTCCTTAGTAAGATTATGTTTTTATAAACATATAACTCATTATATGTAAAATTACATTTTCATGATTTAATAAGTCAAAAATAACTAACTCATTTTTATGGAATAGATTTTGCTCATCCCATATATTTAGAGTTTCTCTCATGTCTTTAGAAATTCTATCATAATATATTATGATTGATGATGCATTCTCATCTCATCCAATGTTATGTTGGATGAAATTAATATTTGAATACATAATCTTAAGTACTACAATAAAATTAGTTTTATTTATGGTTCTTAATTTAATATGTAATGATGTTATTTGATGTATATTATGTGTATTCATTAGGATCTTATGTTGAATCAATTAGATGTTAATATTTTTAAATATATTCAGATATTATATGTATGGCTAGATTTGTTTTTTAGCTTTTATTGTGATAAATCATTTCTGTTTTGTAATTTTTTTTACCACTTATCATATAGGCTCCAAATATTTAATATTATATAAATATGCTGCATTTTAAATTAGAAATTCAAATTAAACCCTAACTTTATAAACTATATATTTTTAATTTGCTAAAAAACAAAATTTATGATTTTATGTCAAAATTAAGAAGTCCATATTTTTATATGATTTATTTTTTTAAACATTTCGATTTCAGGTTATTAGTCGGATAATTTTTTTTATAAATTTTATATTTTTCATACTTTTTCAAAATTTTATTTTTGTACGTTGTACAATTTTTTTACACCAATTATTGTTAATATATTTCGTATAAAAAGAGTTGTATACAAATAGTTTGTTGATTTGACCTCATCTTTTTTATAGTTTGTTAATTTTATGTTATCATTTAGTTTTAGTATAATTTTTTCATAATTATATTTTTCTTGAATTTCTCTTATATTATTTTTTTCATTTCAAAAACTTCTCATTTGCTTTACATGTATTTTTAAAAAATTATTAATTGATTTCATTTTATAGATCTATCTAACATACATTTCATTGCTATATATAATAACAAATAAAAATAAATTTATTTAATAAAATAAATAATCAAATAGAAAAATAAATAATAAAATTAATCTATACATTTATACACATATATAATTTATTTTAATTTAATTTTCTTTAAATTGCACCTCATTTATTATACAAGTGAAATGATAAATCTGTCTTGAATAAGAAGTTACTAACACAATATTATATACTTTAAAATATTAGCAACATTCATGCATCATTTATACTTTTTATACACATTAAGGTTTAATATATGATTATAAGTTATAACTTTCAACTTATTACGTCAAATTACATCTTAATAACAAAAACCAAAGAATTTTAGTGTTCTTTCATAGAAATTTAAAGGCATCACATTCTTCCAAAAAGAATTTCATGTTTCAATTTTCATCATATATCAACATGAAGTTTTGTCCTTAAACTTAAATCCAATGAGGGTAACAATAATTTTTTGTTAAAGATGAGAGTAACAATATTCTTACGAATGTCTCCAAAACCCTTACATATATATATATATATATAAATATAAGTTGAATGATCAAATAGTGTTCTAACGACAGGTTCATGGCACATTTACGGAGAATCACTGTCTCAACTTTCACAATTCAAAATCAGATTTTGTGCTAATAGATGCAGAAAAAGTAAAACTCATTAATCTTATTATAGAAATTGAAAAGTCCAATAATGTGTTTAATTAATCTTATTAATATTGCAGATATATTCTATTATCTTTCAGAACTCTCTCGAGAACCCAAAGACATCAGTAGATTTATTCCAAAAAAACATGGAATTCTCAGGGCACCACCATCATCACCATCACCACCACCGCCGTGACGACGACGAAGCGTGACCCTATGCGCCACCGCCTCCAAGCGCCTTTTTTACTGCCATTCCTCTGCCACCTCTTCAATCTTACCAACCAGAAGTCCAATGCATCCCACCGCTTCCGTCGTGCCGCAATAAACCGTTCATGCAACCGTCGTCTCCTGGCATTCATTCACTTCGTAGCACTTTTTTTTATAATCTGGAAGTTCATCAGACCTTTGGCCCGATTATATCTCCCAGAGTACCGAGAAGTCCATGTGAATATCCAAATGAGGACTCGAATCCAAATTGAGCCACTCAATCTTATGTCATTATGCAATACTTAAATAGTACTACACAGTCTAAAAGCATAATAGAATGAAAAAAAAACTATTCCATATGTTTGCTTCAAAAAACTATAACCCTTCACATCTGGTAATAGTTTCTTTTTGGATTTTGTAGATTCATTTGATTTTTTGGAGGGTCTATGTAAAAGGAAGATCTGATCCATCACTTATCTACCTTATAACTAAACCTTGTATAACCACCATCTGCTCCCTCTGCCAAGTGGAAGATGAGTCACATCACCATTTATTCTTCAGATTATTGCCTTCTAGTTTGTGATTCTATCGTTGTCGAAGTATGGCCTATTCCCCCTATTCCCCCACTTAGTCTTGATGACTGCTTGCTCTGGGTTGACAATTCCGGGCATGACCAATCGGGCAATCGTTGCTTGTTGGCCAAGTTATTACTCTAATCTGTAGTCAACTTAATCTGGGCGGAAAGAAACTTGAGGTTAATCCGCAATCAATCCTCTACGGCTAAGGAATCAGTCTACAAACTTGGGCAGATAGTTCACATGCATATACTTTCCCTTATGGACTCTACTCCAGTTAGGAGGTCTAGCTTCCTGGAGGACTGATACTTCTTGAAAATTTTCCCGTGCAAAGTGTAGTCGACCTCGTTGTTATAGTGTGATTGTTTCTTCCTTTTGTTTTATGAAGATGTCTAGTTTCAATCTTTATGGTTTATATAAAAGGGTTGACTCTCGGTTAAATGCCGAATATTTTGTACAATTCGTTCATTTATATTTTTTTTGGGCTGAAATGTAAAGTATATTAATTGTAAATGTTCGGAAAATTTACAACGTGGATTTTAATCCGCAAAACCCAAAAGAACTCGGGATCTCATGGCAAGTGATAACACAAAAAACCCATAAATTGGGACATGAGCAGATTAAGTAATAGCATCTACACTTTGGTGATATATGTCAAGATGGTACCAATCCTCTATCAATGATGAAATTGAGTCTGGCTTCCGAAAACCCAACGCTAAGAGCGTTGTTCGGATAGATTTATCAATCTTTCTTCGAACAATTTCTGCCAACTTCTGTTTGTTTCAAAATATGCGTTGGTTGCGCTCATACCATATTGCTTCGATCGTCGTCTGAAGAAACATCTTTGCCAATTGCTCTCTATTCCTGGATTTTTTGTTCGTAGAATTAGAGAATCAGTTAATGCATTCACCAAGTGTCACTTGGAGAAGTGACCAAATTTTTTTAGCCATCGGATCCCATATTGATTCACTATATCAGCAGCGAAAAAATAAGTGGTCTTGTGATTCGTCATCTGCGTCACAAAACACATAAGCGGAAGAAGAGATCAGTCTTTATCTATAGAAAGAATTAACCTTGTAATATATATATGATATGGCTACGGGTTTTATTTTACATCTTAAAGAAAACTCAAATAATTATTTTATTTGGATCGTGGTTTGAAATATATAATTATACTTATTATTGAAAACTACGATTAATATTTAATAATATTAATATTCAGAAAAATAGTTTTAAATGACATTAAAATTAGAATGGAGTGGAGTTTTAAGATTTATTTTGGATTTTTTTTTGTCGGAAGATTACTTATTTAATTATTGTATACAGCGGTTTTAATCATAAAAAAAGTGTTGGGGGATTTTTTATTCCTCTGATGAAACTTTGGAATAGTAGAAAGGTTTTTTTCTATGCCAACTAAAAACTCAATGCACCATAAAATCAAATGTCTTAATAATTTAAATCAAATGCAATATTGTATTTAAAAAAAATAACATAAATTAATAAAAACTAAATTATTTATTAATGTCTCACTTATTCTTTTCAATGCACCATAACCTAAATTATTTATTACTATTGCCACTGACCGTAGGGGTGTAAAATGAGCGGGTCGGACTGGGTTCGGGTCAGGCTTAGTTTGGGCTTAGATTTTTCGGGCCGGACCGGCCCGTCCATTTATTTTTCGGGCCGGATTTTTTCTATTTTTTCGACCCTAACTTTTTTCGGACCGGGCCGACCCGCCCATTTATTTACCGGGTCTATATTATTAGGCCAATGCCCTTAATTGTTCGGACGGGTTTCGGACCGGACTTCGG